AGTTAAAGCAGACACAACATTGATAAATATAAATGAAATGATCATGCCAATTACCTGGTTCATCTCTGCATCTTCCTGGAAACCTTTCTTATGGCTCTGGAACAGTTCAGAAATCCATTTCTTAAACTTCAGTAAGAAGTAAAACAGGGACTTTGGACTTGGCACCAAGTTGAAGGGAACAGGTAATGTTCTTCCCTCTTCAAAGTAGGAAAACCATAGTTTGGCCCTGGCAAATTTCCACTCCACATCAGCATCGTCCTGTGCAATTACACAAGATGCATTATCGAGGAAATGCACACACAGAGCTATTGAGAGGGCTCTGCCAGTGTGTGGCTAGATGGAAGCAGGCGTGCCAGGAAGCCTGCTCAGGCCCCAAAGACCAGCCCAAGGTTTTTCCAAGATGTGAATATTCTACTCCCGGTCTCCTAAAGCTGTCTAAAATGTTATCAGATCTAAGAGACTACAGATCTCAAAATCTACATGTTTATAAAGAGAAGGTATAAATGCACTTTTCCTCCATTCTAAGAAATGTAGAAAAGTCATTTATCAATTAATTTGGGACACAGGCCAAAATCTCTGGGATAAAAATTTAGAATATCACTGTCAATCTGAGGAAGGTCCAATTTTGAACACTGATTAACACAACTTAGTAAATAGTTGAATTTGTAAGCAATAGCTTTTAAAAAACAATAATAAAATAAAAATTCATACTGATATCATATTCCAAGAGATTCTTTCTTTAAAAATGTCGAGTATTTCTGCTTGTTATGCCTTACTGCCCTAACATACTCCATCAATATTGCATTTGGAAGCAAAGAGTAAAAACTATTTAGGTGACTGGTGTCCTGTTGGGTATGCATTGAAAAGATAACCACAGGTCAGTGGTTCAAACCCATCAGCTGCCCCACAAAAGAAAGTTGAGGCTACCTGCTCCCTTAAAGATTTACAGCCCTGTAAACCCAGTATAAGTTTGCTATGAGTTGGCATCAACTTGATGACAGTTGGTTCTGTGGGAAAATATGTATACAAGATTTATATGCAAACTATGTATATAAAATATATGTACAAAAATATATACAAAACAGGAAGAACAAAAGACAGAAAGCAGGACAATTTTCACCCCCATTTAGTTGATCCCTAGAATAATTAAAAATGCATAGAGATGTTTATTTTGTTACTATACCTCAATTTCCTGGAATGAACTGTTGATCATTGCGATTAACATATTTAGCAAAACTATAACCATTGTCACATTGTAGACTCCATAAAGAACATAACCTGTGTTCTCAATGAATTTGTGATTATAGTCAATGACCACTGATCTCACTTCCGAAAGTCCAAAGATAGCCCAGAACAACGTTTTAAAACTCTCTTCAACTCTGGGGGAAAATAAGAGAAAGAAGAGAAATAATAATGTATAAATACATTATGATGGTGCTCTAATAAAGCTGACTTATTTGACCTCTTTGCAAATTACTAGATATACAAGTACTTGGACTAGTTCTTGTCTTCTCTGAGTCTCAGTCTTCTTCCCTATGAGAGGGGCACATTAATATGTACCTATTTTGTCTGGATTGTTGCAACGATAATATAATATTGTGCACTTGAACTAAATATCTCAACAAAGAACATATAAAAAGGATTTAATACATGTTTTTATAATACATGTATTGTTACAGATATTAATATTAAAATCAATCACAACTTTGGCAGTGGAGGTATTAAATATATTACTTAATCAAAACCATGCCATTTGTTAGATTCTTTTACGTTTCCCTCATTTGCTGCTGTTAGCTGCTGTCTAGTTGATTCCACGTCGTGGTGACCATGTGTGCAGGGAAAACGGATGTGCAGAGAGTGGAAGTGTGTGGGCTTGCAGAAGGAGCTCACCAGTCTCCAATTCTAAGGTCTCTCATCTATACTGCCACCCATAGCTGATACATAGAGAAGTCTATTTCTAAAAACAATGACAATCGAAAAACAGAAATACTACCATAATCTAACCGATGCCGCGTTGTTAGACATTTCACTCCTTTGGCAGAATTATCGAGCAAATTAAGCATGCACGCCTTTAACCCTGGCGGTGGTTTCATTTCTTTGACAAGCTGCACTTTCAAAACTCGCGTTATGTTGCAGTTACTGCTTTTGATGGCTTAGAAAGGAATGAAATTTAATTAATTCGTTCCAAGCATTTTTTATAATAAACAGATGTGCCATGGTAAACGTAGGTCAAGACTCAAGGCACTACTGATAACTTGGCTTTTCTCAGTGCTAAGGGTCAGGAGGATGAACTGAGAAAGGGTGGTTCTCAAAGCCAGTGCAGCAGAAGGCTCCAGTCGGCAGAGGGAGTAGCGCGCAGGCACTGGAGTTCAAGGGGACGAGACTTAAAACCTCCCACTCTGACACATACTTTTCGTCTAGGCGATGTTCAGCAAATCATTTAGCTCAATGGTTCTCAACCTTCCTAATGCCACGACCCTTTCATACAGTTCCTCATGTTGTAGTGACCCCGCAACCATAAAATTATGTCCGTTGCTACTTCATCACTGCCATTTTGCTACTGTTATGAATTGGGAGACCCATGTGAAAGGGTCGTGTGACCCCCCAAAGGGGTCGCAGCCCACAGGTTGAGAACCGTTGATTTAGCTCTTCTGCATTGCAGTGTCCTCTTTTTGTGACATGGGAGTAATACAACGATGTGTGGGACACATTTACCCAATGTCCGGTTCTAAAAAGTGCTAACTATTAATATTTGATGTGAAGGAGATGTTTCAGAGTTCTTTTAAGTAATTTTAAAATAGTCATTTTCCTTAATGGAAACGAGACATAGTAAGTCTTTACCTAAACCTCACTTATCCCATGGACACATATGCCCACTCACGGCCATTGAGTCAACGCCGACTCGTAGTGACCCTCTGTGGTTTCCTGAGACCATAAGTGTTTATGGGAGCCGAAACCCACTCTTTCTCCCACAGAGCTGCTGGTGGTTTCGAACTGCCGGCCAAGGGGATTACAGCCCAACCTGTACCGCACCACCAGGGCTCCTTTATGGGCACATGTGGTCACTGTCAAAACACCTGAGAGCACTTACGTTGTGAAGGCTTCGGTTTGCTTTGCACCACGGTAGTAGGAGTAGAGGTTAAACATTCCAATCATAAAGGCCACGAACACCATGATAAATATCACCATGAACTTGAAGATGTCTTTCACAGTCCTTCCGAGGGATATTTGTAGAGGTCCAAAGCTTTCATTTGCTGGCAAAATATAAGCGATTCTGGAGAAACTTAAGACCACCGCAATTGCATAAAGACCTTCAGATATAATTTGAGGATCAGAGGGGTCCCACTTTATCCTGGCTAGGGAAAAAAGGAAATAAAAGGGCTTTGATGAGTTTCTTTACATTCTTGATCCATTTAACTTATTATTATTATTTTTTTTTAGGAAAGAAATATAATTACATCAGGTCTCAGGTTTCTGACATGTCATACACATCCAAACTTCTGAATTTTTTGAGAAGGCCACCCTCATAGTTGGCTGAATGTTCTCTTTAAGAACATAGCATGATGGTTATGACCTCAAATGATACACTCAGATAAATAACTGGAAAGATTCCAATTTTATATACCAACTGAGAGAAGTTGTGTGCATTGCATTACTCAACCTCTTTTAGCTCCATTTTTTCATCTTAAAAATGAGATACCTCCCCCCATATGAGTTTTTACTAAGTCGATGTCTGTTCGGTGTTTACAAAGCACCTGGTCCTTTGTCATGGTAGCTTTCATTATTTAATATTGAACTATAACGAAGAGGAAGAGCAGTGCATGGAACTTTGGGATTCCCTGCAGCTATTTAAACATATCAGTAGAAAGAAAAAAAACATTTTTATTGGTCATTGAAACAGGTCTATTTTTACGATAAAGTGAAACAATTATTCACTTAAGAATTTTGGGGACATTATTATGTTAGGTCATCAGGAACCCAATCAAGAAACCATCATGAAGAAGGAGGTCAAGCTGGGCCAGAAAGAGTCAAAAGCAGGATGACGAATGTGTGCTTGCTTATTTCCTGAGAGATGGAATGAGGAAAGGATAAGAAGAAACTAATCAAAGTGGTTTCCTTTTTATATCAGTTTGAGTGGATATAAATAGATAACCTTGAAAATGTTATACTCTGTATATGTTTGCAAATTAAAATTTTCAAATCAAAATGCAGCCCCAGCTGAAGAGAAGAAAGTAGAAGCAAAAAAAAAAAAAAAAGAAGAATCTGAAAAGTTCGGTGATTACCTGGGCTTTGGTCTTTTTGACTAAACCCCCTTTGTGACATGTTCAGTAAAAATCTGAACTCTTACCAGAGAGATAGATGATAGATAGATAGATAAATGAGTTGTTCTTGTATGATGTCGAGCTGGATTTTATTCACTGCAGCTCTTTAAGACAGATTAGAACTCCCCCAGAGGATTCCCTAGGCTCCAAATCTTTATGTGAGCAGACCGTCATATTTTCTTCCCTGAATCAGTTTATGGATTGAAATGACAGACCTTTCAGTTAGCAGCCGAATGCTTCGCCCATGTGTACCCATACCACCACCACCAACAAAATAAATACCCACATCTAGAAGTTAAATCGTAACACTTATGTAATATGGCAACAAAACCATACAGGTGCCAATTAAATGTTAACTGACTTCTTATCAGAAGTTTTGAAATAAATAGTCCAAAAAATGTATTTTCCTCACTCCAGGTTTCCGTGAGAACAAATTTTCCAGCAGGAAATAATTGGACCTTTTTCTGTTCCTTAGTCATGTTCTCAAGGAGCCATGTGGCAGAGTGGGCCAAGTATCCTTTGACTTCTAACCACCAGGTCAGAGGTTCGAACACACCAGTCACTCCATGGGAGAAAAATGAGGAGAGAGTCTGCTCCCATAAAGACTCCATGTCTCAGAAACCCAGAGCGGGAGTCTGTTCTGTCCGATAGGGTCCCAGTGAGTGAGAGCGGACTCGATGGCAGTGAGTTGAATTTGAATCATGACCCTCTTGGAGAAGTGGAGTGATCTATCTGAGTTTAAAGTAGGTGGGATAACGGGACATGTGGTCCTCCACAGGGGCATGGAGGAACCTCACCTGGCCAACCAGGTGCTGCTCCTTTCCATCCCTGTATTTGCACCCATTGCTGTCTAGAAATTAGAAAGTCTCAACTCCCACTGCCATCCAGCTGAATCTCTCGTTTGCCTAATTCTAGGGCATGGTTTTAGTAAGCTTATTGGCTAACAGACTCAGAGCCCCATCATCCAATCGGAACCTCACTGACACTGGTGA